GAATATATCCTGACTAGGAATATATCCTGAGTTCACATTCAGAGAGGGTGTTAGGAGTCATTTAGGAGTCGAAAAATTCTCATGCTATCCTGGAACATGAAAGCGATAATTCAACGTAAACTTGTTTTATGCGGTGAGTTCCTCGCATGTTCCCTGCCCATTTTTTGTATGCTGAAAAAAACTGTCACATAAATTATTTACCTGGACATGCTATGCGTTTTCCTTTTGCCAGTCATCAAAGGAAAAATGCCAGGAGTTTATTTTTTTTCGACAGGATGTCGCGCCTTATCACAACGACAACGATATTACATCTTACCTCAATGTTGAGGTACCAATTTGGATTGGTCGTGGAGATGTTATTTAATGACCATCACGATCACTACTGGATTTCAGTGTACGGGGTTTTGTAAAGGATCAAGTGTACACTCAGTCATTTTAAACATACATTCCAGAACTAAAATCAAGAATCTGCGCTGTAATTAATTTGATCTACGGAAACATGCTGATAAATCTGTAGCAAGAACTAATTTACTGATGGGACATTTACATAGAAACAAAAAGGAAGCCACATCAAACATTTACGCGCGCGTGCGATAATGGTTAACTTAAACACTACCATTTATCTATCTTACAGCAATATTTACTTTAATTCCCCCCTTGTAAATTGCATGCAATAAATCATTCTTATTGCCAACTAATATGTAGACACTCTGAGTATTCAATACTAAAACTCGAACAATTACCTATTTTGAAGTTCGTACCATACATTTATGTTATTTAGAACGTCAGAATTATTTTCAGACGTTGCATTAGTGTTAAAAAATTATGATGCATGGAATCCACATTTATCCCGGGATGGCCGAGGTCGACTCAACCTTGTATCCCTTCAATGGGTCGATAAATGAGTACCAAGCTTGCTTGGGAACTGAACACACTGGGAGTGTTTCGCGTCAGATTGACCCCTTGACCGAAACATTTGCACATTCACCTCAACACCTAAGGTCACGTAAACTAAGATAGGCACAGAAGGCCTTAGCCCTCATGGGCTGTTGAACCACTGAGTTCAGTTCAGTTCGGAATCCACATTATGTAAGGTTTGAATAAATTTCGAAAACAATTTTATTCGAGGGCTATGTTTTTTTTAATTATTATTTGGGAATCATATCACTCTTTAATACTTCCATAGTAAATTCAAGATTTATATCAATATGTATTTAATCATAAGGGTATATCGACAAGAACAAAATAGAAGTCTCAGGATAAAGCCCTAAAAGTCTAACGATTTTCAGAATCGACAGTATAAATCCATTTTAAGCTCTTAGATTAGTAGCTATGTTCTTAGCATCATTCTTCCAAAAAAGTTTAATTCGTAAGCTAGTAAAATTTTTTTTTATATAAAAGAACTGTCTTTCTCTGAATAGACTCGCGGACGGGTTCAATCTTTGATCGATCAGCAGTATGATGCTGTGAGACATTTTAATCTCTTTCTGTATTTTGCTTAGAAATCTCTTACTACAGTTTTCTCGAGCAATTTTATTTATTTAGTTTTGTAAAGTTGGCATTTTTGAAGAAATCCTCATTTTTAACTTATTTCCAATCAATATTTTCATTCATTGAATTTTTTCCCCTAATTATTTTAAAATTCAACTTATATCTAAAAATTTTAATGACAATAACAGATGTAATTCTTAATTCGAGTAATATTTTTTTATTAAAATCTTTAAAATGTGGGGTGAAACTGAAGTGAGAAAAATGGTTTATTTTGTTCCCGGGTAAGTACAATTTAAATATTTGTCTACAAAAACGAAGGATTGAACTACATTGACTATATTTATAAAGAGTCTATTCCCTTGCAATATTGACATATTACTTTAAACCTCTTCTTGGTTGGTGTCACAAGTCGCATGTTTTTTGCACTAAGTGTTCGTCTGCTCAGGCTTCCCCTGGCCACATTTTATCTTGTTTGGGGCTTACCAGGCAGGACTTGGTTCAAGATCTCCTATTGGTTTTGTACTTGTTCAGGGTGAATGGACTTATGGACCTGATCTAGCTCTGCTGATCTCGGGGATGAGATACAACAACAACAGTCGCATGTTTGGCCTTTTTTTTACGCCTGTGTAGTCAGAATCACATGATATACGAAGAGAAGGTTGTATTATTGGCGACAATGAATTTCGTCAATGACTGTAATTTCGCTTTCTTCGCTTCTTGTTCGCTTTCGCTTCGTTATTGTTATATATTAAAACAGAGAAATGATGTTTTTTTTACATGCAATGTTTAATCTGTTGAAATTTATACTAAAATCTATTCAAGATATTTTCTACATTTCAAACCAAAAATTTTGTCCTTCACAAAGTAAGTAGTAAAATAATCTGTGAATACAATAAATTATATGATGGTTGCCCAAATGAAAAGTGAACAACTTGTAAAAAAAAGGATACCTTTATTAGAAATCAAAAAAGATCACCATGGGCGTTGTAACACAGATCACATCGTTTCAACAGTAAGTCTATACCATCGCTGTAGAAAGATCGTGGTTTATTCTCGAGGAAGTCCTGCATAACTTCCTTTACCTCATCATCCGAATAAAAACGTAATGCTCTCTTAATTGGAAAAAAGTGAGGAAGGTTCAGGCAGACAAATCTGGACGGTACTTACGTGTTATCGCAAGAATCGTCAACTCTATTACAGTCGGTCAACTGGATTTCCTATGTGTCGTACGCACTGAATTGGCATCCAAGTGCTTCGTTTCAAATAATGTCGTCCATAGGGTGCGATAATATGTAAGTATAGAATTTTCTTTAGGTTGTCTGGGTTTCATAGAGATATTGGGGCCGGCATTGTTATGGAGATTTGATATCGTTTGCCGCTCTTCACTAAAACTTTTGCACTAATTATTCGAATTAAGCAGTGCTCGCCATAGACTGCCTTATTTGCTGATGCCCGCATCCAGCTCACCTTCCCCAATCAGAAACCGTGCAAACCACGCATTGTTTCGATCTGGACACATCCATGGATAGAAAAGCTTTACTTTTGATGTATTTCCTCAAACACGAACAAGTTTCATTACTGCTCATGGTATGCAGTGTACATCTCATACCTTCCTTTATATTCATATTCGGTGGCGCTGCTATTGCTGCAATCATTCTTACACAATTGCACGTGTCCATTTTTCATTTGGGTAACCCCTATATCAATGCGGTTTTCATGCACTGTTGACAAAGAAGGGTTTTAAAATTGTTTTCATAGTAAAGTTATAAAACTATTTTCCAAAATACTTTTTACGGTACTTAGGATTTGGCGATTTTTATCTAAATGCCATGATGAGATAATGAATTCATTCTGAAATAAATAATAAATCATTCCGAATACTCTACCTTGGCGACCACTTTTAGTCACCAAAAAAGGACAGCGCCAAGTGGCCCCCTATACTCCACTTTTTGATTATTGCAACCTATATTGGCCACATTATATGAAACGAAGCCCCTGGTTGCCAATTCAGCGTATACGACACATAGGAAATCAGGGTTGCCAACTTAGCGAGTTATTAATACAGTTGGTGATTGTTAAGATAATACATAAGTACCACTTTTGCTTATTTTTAATAGTTATTTGCACGCAATATTTATCTTTAACATCTCAAAGCGATGGGTTTGATAAATGAAATATCAGATGCATTTTTTTTGGTCACACGTTTGGACAACAGTAGGACAAGCAAACGACTGCTTAATGACAAAAATGTTGTGCACTTTCGAATTCAAGATAGAACAGATAATATTTTCCATCAATAATTCAGTCAGTTTTTTTTAATTAAAAATTCTAAAAGATGACCATGAAAGGACGCTTTGTTTAAATATGGTTACTTTGAGTTATTTGATTCTCACATCAACTGTACGACCTCTTATCTCAAAACGGTTAGCCTTCTGAAAAAAGAAGAGATGCAATCTTGTCAAAAAGTTGCCAATCTGGCAAAGCAAGAAGTCGCCAAAAATGGATTGGAGACCTTACTAATTTTTTTTCAGCTTAGTTGTACAATTTTAATAATTTTCTAAGTAATAAATTTACAATCTTTGAAAACATTCGAAATGTAAACAAAACTATTTCATATTTAGAGTTTATACGGAATATATTATTAAAGCACACACACACACAATATCGGCTAATTTTTTTTCAAAATATTCAATAAAAATCAACTTTGTTTGATACTGAACTTATTTATGAACCTTCTCAGTCACTGCATTTAACACATCTAATAAGCTTTTGAGTATTTGGGTTTTTAACTATTGTTATTTTTATCAGTATAATTTATAATTTATATAAATTTGAGTAAATTATAATATTTTAATTAAAAATGTTACTTAAGAGAGTATGATTAACAGCTTCTGGAGAGAGAAATACCACCCATATGTTTTTTTAAAGAATAACTTATTTTCAACTCTAGAAACAAAATTAAAACTTCAGCATGCGTCTTCTTTAACAGTCTACTATTTTTCATTGCTGGTAATCAAATTAAAAATATTTTCTCTACTTAAAAAACAACACACAGGATAGTATTTTTCAATTTCTCTTTCTAAATTTAAATAATATAAAATACAATGTTTCGTTATTTTTTTTACTTTGCAAAATGTTAATTACTTACAAACAGTTAATTTGAGATAATGTTCCATTGTCTTAAAAATGATAAAGTGTATGTTCGGCTGATTTATTTTACTGAAAAGCAATTGCGTTCTTCATTTGCCTGAGCGAAACATGTTAATAATACATACTGTGTATATCTTACTCTTAAGTATTTGTTTTTCAATTCCTACTATTAGTTCACAATCTCCCTATACCTTGCTCAAATTTTCAATCATTAATAAAATATTTTCTACTCATCCATTCAAGTTCAAATACATTTTTTTTAACTTGTAGTGGATAACACATGATTTTAATACATTTTTTCAAATATTAATTTATTACTTACACTTAATTAATGAATAAAAGGAAAATTGCTCGCTGCGACCCTGTAGCGCAATGGATAGCGCGCGTTGGACTTCTAATCCAAAGGTTATGGCTTTGAATCCTGCCTGGAATGGCTTAATTTCTGAGAATGTGATTTATGAATGAATAAATAGTAACGAGAGAGAGAACAAAAAATTTAATAGTCCAACACCATATATATATATAAAAGAAAATCGCTTTCAATTTTGCCGCTTAATATTGTGATTTTGTCATATATATATAAATTTTTATATTAATTGTAATTATTTAACTAAAAGTATCTAAAATAAAAATTTTCTTTGTTAACCTAAATAGGAACTGACTTTTCAAATTTTTTTTTTATATTATACTTGTTTTAATGTCACCGATTTTTTCCCTTTTTACAAATATAATATTGAATTTTTGAAAAACTGTGGCATTGAAAAAAAATCATGAAATGTTTCTTTTTAATTCTATGTATCCGAAAATTTTATTATTTTTAATTATTACAATTTTTAAAATTTTTTATAGCATTGAATTAGTGCCCCTCCCCTTCAGATTCTGTACCCTTAAGTATGAATATGGTGTGTATGGTTGGCGATCTCTTTTAATATTTTTCAGTGATAAAAAAAAAAGAATAAATGACTAAAATATATTAAAATATATTTTTAATTTAAAGTGTCAAAACAAATACACTTATACATATGTAAACAATAAAGTTATTCAATGACTCATCAATTTGAAATAATAGAAAAATAAAGTTATAATAATTAATACTTACTTATTGTACCGACCGCCAATTTCGCTAAGTAAAAGATATTGCCAATTCATAAGAGATCGCTAAATGCAGCCGTTGTTATTATTACCGTTTTTGTTTTAGAACATGCGCAAGAACAGTTTTCTACTTTTCGCGGCCTTGTAGTGGCATTTAAATGAAATAAATGGATAAAACATAATCCTTAATCCTTCTAACCCAGATGAAATAATTTGTAAAAGTTTGATACTTATCAAATTGTAGCAAAATAATAAAATATTACATTACTTTACAAAATATTATACAAGTATATATTCACATGAATTAAAAGAATTTTCACGCCTACAAATCTAACAAAATATTACATTAAAATCATACTAAGTAATTCTTTTATGAATAAAAATCGAACCAATTATTTTACTGCTCATCAAATCAAACAAGTACTATATGATACAATTACATATATATTACAGGTTTGCTGGATTTGCTCCTGTAATCCCAGAGCAACACTACACCTCTTACTGGCATGATGATCATAAAGAAAGAGAGAGTTATCATTATGAGGGCGATCGAATACCTCAAAGGACAGGACTCCCATGTGTGAAACTGGAAGTGAAACCAATTCATTTAGAATGCGGAGACTCAGAATATCAAAAGTGTGCCTCGTGCGCATGCGTGCGAGACGTGAGACCAGCAGGATTGCCCTCGTCTGAAATGTGGAGGGGAATGGATCTGGAATATGGCAACAAAGGAAAGAAGAAGTACGCTACAAGCAAACCGGGAAGAATGCATTCAAAAGAGAAAAGATACATGGGAGACGACTCGGGAGAAATGTATTCCTTCTATTGCCATGGAAAAAGTAAGTCAAGCAACTAAAATTCGCTAACATGGTCTGAAATGTTATGATATGGTGGGTAACAGTAGCGCACACAAAAATTTTTCAAGGGGGTGTCCAGGGTTGAAAATCCACCATTTTGGTATCAGGCTCCAAGACGCCGCTCAACATTTTCTTTTGATTTTGTCGATTTTCAAGAACAAAAACGATACAAAATTAATTATTGAATAAATAATTAGCATTAATTAATAAAATTAATTATGAATAACAAATACATAATTGAATTTTAAGTAATATGTACATAGGATTATAACCAATCGAAAAAAAATCAAGGGCTTTGGGGGTGTCCGGTCCCCTAGGTCACCCCCTTGTGTGCGCCACTCGTGGGTAAGAATGGTCATAAAAGACTAGAAAAAAAATAGTTGAAACTCGTTATGAAAATACAGGTAACATTTTCTTAATCCATTGCCATGTATCGGAAACTTTATGAAATAATGATGTTTAGGAACTATACCGTCGACTAATTTCGCCAAATCAAAAGCCGTTGTCGATTCGAAAAATGTCGCCAAATGCTTCCATCATTATTATTATGTTCGAACCTGTGCAGAATCATTTTTCCCCTACCATTTGCTTCATATTTTGGCATTTAGCGATACCTTTTGATTTGACGAATTTAGTCGGCGGTGTAATATATAAGTAGTGAATAAATCAGATAAGACGAATTTTTTTGTAATATACTTATCAACTTGTAGAAATTCAAAAGAAACAATCAAACACTCTACTCCTTCATATTCGCTTGATTAAATAAAACAATGATTCTCAAACTGAAATATATATTTTTCTGAAGAAATTTGAAAAGTTTTTAGATGGGACCTATATAAGTTAAAATTCCTAATATTATCATTGCAAAAAGAAATTTATTTTGGATATACAGTCGACTCTCGCTAATTAATATCTTCGATAATACGAACCTCTTGCTAATTCGAAGTGTATGCTCATTCCCTAGAAAAACTCTTGATATTTCGAACTAAAACAACACGTTTTGCTACATTTAATATTTCGAAGTAAAATCTGAGGCTGGCTTGACTACAACACGCAATAATTCGAAGATATCTTATAAAACTCTCGACAATTCAAGCACTCGCTATCATGTACAGTCCTGTAGCAGACAGGCTGGAGTTTACAAGTTTTGTGTTGCATTGTCTTTACGTGTCTTCCCTGTAACGTAGTCCCTTTGATGACCATCTGTCTACTACTCCTTCTTTGTTTTTTCCTGTTCCTTAGGCGAAAAGGCACTTTCATTGCTTTCATTCTTCAAGTGAACAACAGAATGACCGCACCTGTTGTCAGCCATCCATATCTTTCTTTTAACATGTGGACATGCTACACATGTGTTCAGAAAGAGTGGTCTGCTATTGTGAAGAGGAGATGCTTAGGATTGTGTATTTTGTATTGGACTGACATGACGATTTTTTCATCAAAAAAGATTAATTATGTACAGCATGTATTATTTTAGTAATTGTTTTTAACACATAAATATATTCTTTTAATACAGGACTTTTAAACTTCTGTATAATATGTATTTTTTAAAAATGCTTTAAAATAATTTGCTACGTATGTATAATTGCTGTTTCATTACATAATTTCAAATTTAAATGTGTTAGAAAAAAAATTATCTTGTATTTTGAGAGTTTTTTCTACCCTCTTGATAATTCGAAGTTTTTATTGGTCCCTCCAACTTTGAATTAGCGAGTGTCGACTGTAATCGAAATTTTGGCTGTATGTGTGTGTGTGTGTGTTGTAGAACAAAGGTAAATACAGTCTGTTGTTGCTAATCCTCGAGAGACTGACGAAGTTTGTGTGTGACAAGATATATGAATACAATGTAACCCAATTAACATACTATAGTCGCGACCCAAGGTCATCAATCCATGGGTCAAGTGAACTATGAACCTTTATTTTCACACTTAAAATATTTAACCCGGGATTACTCGCGCGAAAAAAAAAACGAACGGGATTTCACGCGCAGGGTATCTCATACCCAAAGGTGTGTTTACATTCTATTTTTTTTAATAAAATTTGTATACATAGGTGAAAAGGAAGAAAAATAGGAAATACATTATGTTTATTACACTTTTCACCCGTAAATTTAGTCTTTCTGTCCTTTTTATTAAGGCAGGCAATATATCATTTATACACCCCTTTAGCCTTCGTTGCGAGAGGTGCCGAGTTAAAGAAAATTTCATTTTAATCAACCAGAGAGAGAGAGAGAGAGAGAGAGAGTCGCTATTCATTTTTTTATTAGCTTTTTGTGTTTCTTCTTAATCTTTTGCATGATAGATTTTACTAGTTGTGGCCTAATCCGAGATTCCTATTGCTCAAAATATCTTAATAATTGCTTTGCTGCTTCGAAAGCTTTAGAAAATATGATCGTAGTTTTTTGGCACATCTTCCCCTTTATCATTATCTGACATCTCTTTATCTGAAATATTTTAATATCTTCCTTTGTTTTCGATCCTACTATATATCGACAATATTTTTTTAATTATTGCGAAAATTACTTATGGGAGAGAAAAAAAACCCTTTATAACTCTTAAAATTTGACTAATATAAAATGGTTGAACATTCACACAGCTGATCTTGAAGATCACGAGATTTTGAAATTTACCCTTTTCAAAAAATAAGGATCAGAACTTTCCGTATATGAAATGGGAAGGAAAAATAATGATAATATTTTCTCTTAACAGAGGAAGGTATGACGCTATCTGAACAAAAAATTGATCTTTCATAAAATGGTATCACAATGTGTTAAAGTAAAATCTCAGGCAATTGCTTAACAAGGGACACTTGGTATAGAAAATACAGCTTTTGGATACTAGGGGGTTATGATCACCTCTGTGTGTGTGACAATTGCACAAGATTTATATTTCGTCTGTCCATGCTTACAAGATTATCAACGAACTGCTGAGGCTTCATTACTCATAACTTTTGCAGCTACAATTCCAGCTACGGAATCGCTGCTGGGGCTGGTGACGTGTCGTGGTGGAAGCGTCTTCTCAGAGAGATCATAAGAATTCGATTTAATTTAGAACCGGCGACTTTTCTGGTAAATATCTTGAAAATCTTCACTCTCCACCAGCTCTTCGATTAATTTGATGAGATGTGATTGTTGTCTATGAAGACAAACTAAAAACTCTTAGCACCTCAAAAAGACGCACCTAATGGGAAAAAACCACTATGTAATAATAACACCAGTGGCTGAACATTCTACAAAGACATGCAGTGGCGTAGTGTGGACTTTCGCCGTCTGGGGCCGACTGGAAATTTGTCGCCTCTCTATTTTAATTATTAGTCAAGAAAATTACCAAAAGTAAAAAAAAGCAGCTTTAAATTTTTTTTATTGATTAAAAATGCACTTTTCCTGATTTTTTCATTGCAAAATCTTTTATACAACTGTCAATATCAATATTTATGTCATGTTCAATTGCCAGAATAGCTAACTTTGTTAGCCTTAACGTGGACATAG